CCCGTCCAAACCAGATACCCACTCAAAAAGAAAACAGCAGCGACAAACCAAAAAGTATTATCATTATAAAATTAACAACAAAACAAAACAAATCTAAACAAAACAAAATAGAAACAATGCAATACAGATTCTCACTTACCCAACTATTAGAATCAACACGAAGATGAAAGCGAAGAAAATTTCTTTTTTCTTGTCCATTGCGTGATGCCAAAGGCCTCTTGACCGTGGCGGCGAATCTGACATGATCCTGGTCACTTGGTTCGAAGCAGGTCATAACAGCAAAGTCCGAGCACTTGCACGTTATTGTTAAGTTTTACACTTCATAAAGTACTCCCAGTGAGTCGCAGCATCAAAGCGCACAGAATTTCTGTATAAACAGCATACATACAGATTACCTTTCATTAAAGCGTAGCTATTCGAGTATATTCAATCTATTATCTTTCTTTACTGATAATGGAGGCTACGTACAGTAGACAATTCCTACAATCATTTTCAGGAAATATTTCCAAAAAGAACAGTATCTGCAAAAAATTAAATGTTCAGGAAACGTTTCCAATAAACAATGTCTGCAAACCTTTTCAGGAAACTTTTCCAATAAACAGTTTCTGCACATATTTTCAGGAAAACTTTCTGACAGACATTTACTGTAAACATTTCTAGCAAACAATACAACATTTCTCTGCAAATATCTTCGGAAATGTTCACATTCCGATCGAGAATGACTATCGTCCACACCATTATTTGCCCGACACCTAGGAGAAGCTATCGATCAGGGATGCTGGCTGTGAACTGTTAAGGACTTCATAATTGATGCAAGTCGAATCGATCTGGCGTTTCTCTGGTCTACCTTACTCTACTGACACATGAAAAGGACACGCTTATTGGACATTAAACCGCTTGTAAAAGACGGAGGGGAAGTTTTTAACACTTTGAGAACGTGCAGAAATTGTTTCCTGAAATGTTTTTGACGAAATTGTTTAATGGAAATGTTTCCTGAAAAATGTTGGCAAAAATTATTAATTGGAAATGATTCCTGAAAAGGTTCGTAGACATTGTTTATTGGACATGTTTCCTGAAAATGTCGTAGAAATCGTCCACTGTGTGTAGTCTTTTCCTTTTCCTCTGCTTTCAATTACTTGTGAATGATGGAAGGGAGATTTTAACTAACTGATAACGCATATTCCAGTCATTCAACAACGTTTGATGGAGAACCACTTTGTTGGGTCACATAAGTAACCCCCCCCCCTCCTCCCTAAAAATTCATTATTCGTACATATTTTTTTATCCGATTTTTAGAAAAATCCGTAACTTATAAAGGCATGCTAAAACATTCATACTATGAAGCTTGCACATTCGTATTTCCGATTTGTGTATGATTATTCGAAATTTGTAGCCACATTCGTTGCCGCTGATATGCTGCTGATCGGAACTCATATTACCAATACTTGTCCACTACAGTTCGTCCTTAAAGAGTTAAATCCTCACCGTTGCATGTTTCCTTATACATTATTGACAGGAATCTAATGGAGACATGGTAACGATGGACAATGTCTTGTCCGGGACTACGGCTCACAGCGGGTATCGTGGCACAAACCGATCGCGCCCGACTCGTCACCTAAAAAAAAAAAAATACCGCGTTTGCTTTCAGGCTACGAGTCGGGCGATCAACCCAACCCGACCCAACCCGACCCAACCCGACCCGTCCCGATCCCATCCGCAGTGGGCACCCGGTATAAGAGAAATGAAACTAGGAATCATTTATATAGACCAGTACTTGCCAACCTGGGCAGTATCGCATACTTATAAGCGATTTTGTAATTAATTTGGTGGGCGGTCGGGATCACCCAGGTAGTAAGAGGGTTAAGAGAAATGCCCCGCTTGGAAATCTATTATTCTATTATCTATTTGTGGTGGCCGAATTTTGCCATTTAAAAGGCTTTTAATGGCTGCATCGATCGACATGCAGTTTTAACCAAAAGATGCTTTAAAATATTCTCCAGATCATAACGCCTTTCGTTTTTTTCAGTTTTGACACAGTTTTGCTGCAAAAAGCTAAATTTCTTTATTTCGCCGATCGCTTTTGTAGGCCGGCGCTTCTGTCTCTGTAATTTTAGAAAATCCGCCAGGTTTGTTTACTTCAAGTCGTACTATCGCGCATTGTCGCGCAATACTGAGCATGAGCACTATTTTTAAGTGTGCGACCCGTATTATATAGATATAGCCTCATGTTTTCTTTTTTTACTTGGTGCTAAATTCGACTGTGATTCTTCGTTTGATGGCCATCATCGCTTTTTCTGGACTCCTTTGTCAAATTCTTTTTCTTGCTACTGGGAACAACGTCAACAGGTCTTAGATTAGAATCTAGATCTAGATCTATATAGCGCCTGACTAGGCTGAAAAGAAAACGACGTTCTGCAGTTGGAACCCCTCGCTCTTGCAAAGGTCGAGGTGGTCTAGATCAACAACAAAATGATGGGGACTCACTAGATACAAA